TTTCATATAGATGACACAACATTCAAATATCTTAATAGCGGCAACACCAAAAATCCATAAAATCAGCAAACAAAGCAGGGAAATTCTGAAAACAAATATAGAACACATAAAAAATATCAATATTCCCGGGCGACAAATCGCTCGTTTCACTTTGTAACTATCTTGTCGAAAAAAGACATTATATTGACGATTTTATACAACCAGTAGTTAGTTTTTTTTTTTTAACTTAAACACAAGATAGTAGAGCATTCATAAAAAACTTGAGAATATAAAAATATCACAAAATGAATCAATAAGCTCATTTAACATTACTAGCAACATGCATTCCAAAGTAGTAGTGGGAGAAGTAAAATGAGCATGGCCAAATATAGCAAAATCTCCTCCAAAAGAACGGTTTCTATCACTTGTAAAATCAGTGTTAGAAAATAACGAATCCGAATTCAACAAAAAAATATTTTGCTCAAGCAGTTGTAATAGCAATGGGAGCTAGAATGTCTTTATCCCTGACAGATTTGAGAATGTTTGAAATAATATCAGATAAACTTTGAATAATGTCATGAGTCAGACAATATAAGGCATGAAAATAATTATGTCAATTTACAGGAACGATGGTTTTGTTTTATTCAATTCGGAAGAAATATATATACAAGATTTATTTTCAGATTGTAAATGATATTCATTCGCTATAAGAATTTACTAGTGAGATTTTTACAAGTCAGTTAAACTTCTCAAATGTATTAGTATTCAAGGAATAAACACATGAAACAAGTCAAATGCTGGATGTTAAATTATATCTGAAGCCGATTGACAACTTTCAATAACTTAGAAAGATCGACGGTTTATCCAACTTTGGTATTTATCATTGGAGAAATAACATAAAATATTAGGACAACAAACAATCAAATGACATTGCAACACAAACTGAACTCTTCAAACAAAAGCTTTTGCAAAGAGGTTACTCTGAAAATGGAATAGACATGCTAACATCGAAAGCAAGGCAAAAAAAAAAAAGATTAAACACATGATGCGAAAAAAAAATATAATTACCGCTATTGATATTTGCTACTGAATATAATCCAATATTCACACATTAGGTAAATGTACCAAACAATGGCACTCGATTAAAAATGACCCCAATGCCAGCAGGCTATTCTCTAAACCACCTGTTATTGCATATCGTAGCCATAAAAGTCTAAAAGAATGTTTGACGACTGCAAAATTATTAAGTTATTGTTGTCTTACAAAGTATACTACGTTACTGAATCATAAACACAAATCAATTGGATGTGAAAATGACATTTCAAAATTAGCAAATCAGTGAAAATAATGTTATGACATTGATTGAAAACAACATTGTGTAGGATGTTGTTAACACATTATAATTTATTTTTGGATGTAACATATCATCTGATTGGCTGAAAGTTTGATGTATATCAGCTCATAGACATACTTGTGTCATGTGACCGTGACGGCATCAACGTTATTTCATGATTTACTCCTGAAAAACGGTTTTCGGAATTAAATTATAAGGCATTACTGCATTATTTTTTCTGTCTATTCGATCTGACCTCAAAAATGTGGTGCACGCTTTTTAATAACCTGCTACGCGGGTTTAAAGGTATGCACCACATTTGTTTATGTAATTTATTCATAGACAGACAAAATATTACAGTCATTCCTTAAATAAACAATTTTGGTGTACGCTTATTTAGCTATAACCTTAATTATAGGTTGAATAAATACAAAATTCGAAAAAGTAATGTTTGTATAATGATTAATACTCTAATTTTTTGATAATCGATAGCCTATTGAAACAAGTAGAAAATTGACATTTACACTTACTTTGTTCTTCTATTGAATATAAAAACCGTGAAAAATGCAATTTTTTATGACGACACTGAATCGTATTTATATGCTAAAAAGGAGGAAACAGTAGTTTACTATTGTTTAAATTACATACATCTTTTTTTGTAAAATACAGACTGAGTCAGTTGGATAAACACAAAAAGGATTAACAAAAGAAACAGAAGATACCAAATGGATATTTAAAACGCATCAGTCGAAGGAAAGCTGACAACGTCATGGCAACAAAAAAAATCAACATAAACTATATTTAAATTATGCACGCCATAATCGTGCATTGATTAAAAAAAGAAATCGCGTTATCTTTGACGTTTTCAACTTTCCAGGGAAAACTCTATGCAAAATTTATTTGGACAGTGGGGTAACAACAGAATATAAGAACAAATTGCTGAAATCATTTAAAATTGGCGTAACTAAAACAATGTGAACGAAGAAAAAAACAAAACTATAATGCAAACAACACAAAATATCGATCTAAGAGTACTCGCAGTTACTGCAACCATGTTCGTAATAGATCAATTATGTTCTCCCAGAATAATGTATCATGTTGTTTAAAGATGTCGTAAATACAGATAAATGTACTGCACCTTTGAAAAAAAGAGCTCATTCTTAAATGTTATCAATGCATCATTGTAGTAAGACTTTTGAATATTGATTTATAGGTTCTGACTTTGATTTAATTTTTTGATAATTTGATGTATTGCTATCTAGGTATACACTCATGGTCCGGCATATATATTTATAATTTGACATAACATATACAAGGTCAAGCATTTCCCAAATTGCTTCTGACGTCTTTATACCAAATCCGCGTGAAGTCAACGGATTAATCTTACAATATATAAATAGTGGAGAACATGGTGTATTCAGCAGTCATCATCGATGAGGCTTTTTAACTAGCTTTCGATAACGTCGAGAATTCTTTATTCTGTCCCCTTTGTGTCCTTTGCATTTTTGGAGTTACATTTTTTTTTTAGAACTGATCTGATGAGCCCTTTAATTTAATGTTTACTGTTTGGTCATATATTGTGTTGTCAAACGACTGTCTTAGGTTAGGAAAGCGTTGAAAATGATGATAAATGATGATATGAGTAGTGTGTTTGTTGGAAAAGTTTTACATTAAATCTTAATTAGAAAATGAATCTGTAAATACGGCAATATCATTCTGGGGGAATCCTGGATATACAATGAATATTATTGTTTCCAACATTTAAAAAAGAACGGATACATTTTTTTTTTTTCGGAAGTAATCTTTCAAATGTGACAATTAATGTACTGGCATTCAATACAAAGGCCAGAAACGTCTAAGTGTGAAAATAATTTAAAAATACAAATACAGTGGTATCCTTAAATTGGTCCGATTTGTCTTGGTTCGACTTTTCCTTGCGATTGAGTCATTGCTTATACAGTATGTAGTATTACTTATTTTTTATCATTCTCAATGATTTTTCCTATCATATTTGTTAAGTTTTTTAAACAAAATAATTGAAATAAAATTTAGTCCATTATTCCCTAAACTGTTTACAACTATATCGAGTATTCTGTCAATATCATTGTATAATTTCACGCTTATAATTTTTTTTGAAATTTTTGTCAAGTTTGCACCTTTTAACCTTAGCAAAAGAATTTAACAAATGTTAAAGCTATCTTCTGTCCAACAACGTTCTAGAATTTATCACAAACCCATAGGGCGAATTATATTGTTCCATTTTTGTTTCTATATGTTTATGAAATAACTTTTTTTTTATGGCGTAATTAAAATAACCAATTATTAAGATGTCTTTTCAGTGTAACTGTTCAGTTACTTCTGATTAAACGGTACTTCCAAAACACACAAATTAAGGAGGGGGCAGCAAAATAATTGATATCTTTCGATAAAGATTAGTACCATAATTCCATACCACATACAACTCTTTGAAAAAAAAAAGTGTAGACAAATACATGCTCGAAACATAGATTCAATATGGCGGACAAATGCATCTATGATATTACATGTATATATGTATTGTTCTTCGATTTCGGTGTCTAATGGTCTCTCATCAGGTTAAAGATTAGCAACTACTTCTCAATTGTTAATCAAACCGTGATATATTATAAAAGTGTACCTGTAATTTTTTACAGTTTAACGTAGGATACTGATTTGATTACGCATTGCATGCTTTTCTTAATCATTTTTCATCGAGTACGATGAAGACCATATAGCTAAAACGTTTCTGGGGTTCAAACAGACCAGGCAAAAAATAGATATGGTCGATTCCACATTTGTTTTGATTTCTGTTAAATATGAATGGTATCTACATGAATTAGGCAGCTTATTGACACATAACAGATGGTGAAAATGAATTCCACAATATACAGGTGTATATGCAGTCGCTCAAGCTTATGAATCTCCTAGTCATAACAAACTAAAATCATTTGCATCCAACTTTTGTATTTAGCCTTGAAAAATATTGGCTGAAAATGACAGTTGCCTAGTTTTGTTTTATTGTCAATTTGTTTTACTTTCACTTGACATTTTAAATGTTCTTGTGTATATATCATTGATGAGAGCACTGCACAGGGTTATGCAATTAAAACATAATCATGGTCGTCTGTGACACAGATCCAATAACAGTCGACCAAAAAAATGAAAGTGTCTGTAAAAAATTCTGATTGAACATAGTTTATGTTGGGTCGTTTTTTTTTTGGCAACGGCAGTGTCTGTTTGTCATCTGACATGATGTTTGATTGAAAATATATTTTTTTAATAAGCACTAAAAATTGTTTATTTACGTTTTGCATTTCATATATCATATCATCAACTCTACTAGCAGTGGTATCGACCAAATGATGGTAATAATTCATGAAAGGCTTATAATTTGAGTATACCAGAAGTTCTTTTTTGTGTACGAAAGACTAATAATTTGCGTTCAAATATAACAGTTATAAGGCTCAATCAATAACGAAGTGCATGTCTCTCCTAGTTTGAGAAAAACATACTTTGAGCTATATTCAGTTTAAGATTTAATCTTCGAGTTTGTAAATCAACAAATGCCTACAAACAAACTTTATTAATGTGATATGTGTTGTAATAATAAGCGAAATGTTGGCTATACGTCTTTTAGATAGCAACCCCATGACATATGAAATTAAAGACATTTGATATGCTTATATTTAATATTTTAAGTTGTTTTTTCACAGACATATCCTATTGAATAGTTGCATGGAAGATCATATCATCCATAAGCGTTCAGTCCACATATAGTCTTCCAATAATTTACGCAGTTTTCTCTCCTTCCGCTATTTGGTTCACGAGGTTGCCAGTAACTAAAGATTATCCCAGTATTATCAGACGCCTACCTCCACTGTCCTTCCGTCTGGATATCACTCATTCAGCTATGAGAGAAAACAAATGTAAATATGATAACATCAGGTCCAATTTAAACAAAACATGCATCATGCTTTTACTTATAACATTGCAACTACATGTTTATACAAAAAACATCAGTAAGAAAAAAATACATAAAAACCAGCGACAGAAAAAAAGTCATGGCATGATTTTTATACTAATAAGAACAAATTACCATTTGACACACATGACACCATTCATAAATGGTACAAAAAACAGAATTCTATGAAATCATTATTATAATAATTAGGTTTAATATACTGTGTTAAAATACGAAAATGCAATATGATAATCAGTAAGCAACTATCCACTAGTGACCAACAGACAAAAAGTTAACATCTAAAGTCCACATAACCAAAGAAAATGTTGCGCTCTTAATACATATCGTCGTAGGTAAAGGATCTTTCACAAAAAGCAAACACCTCCACGAACGGAAACCCTATGTCAGGCCATCTTAAGTGATAACATTTAACCAAAACAATTAGTTACATGTGTACTATATTTAAAATAGAAGATACCATTCAATGCTGAAATCAACCATGAATTCTCTGCTTCACTTTCAACCTTCACCAAGTAACCACTTTTTTGTTGGCATTCATTCTACAAGAAAACATGACATGATTAATCTATCTTTTGTTATAGGAACATCCAGAACTAAGTCATATATATGGTTCTCTGAAAGGGTTTTCCTCTGTCATGTAGGTAGAGATGTAATAGAAAAACAACAATAAAAAGATAATGTGAACCCCGAGGTGAGGGCGAGTTGTACTTTTTCTTATTATGTCATGACGAACTCACAGATTTCCACTGTGTCTCTGTTTCTGCTTTGAGGAAAATGTTGCGCTCTCGATACATTTCAGATCTCTATCTGCAACACCGTGCGGTCTGTAGGTGACTTAATAAACAATTGTTCACATGTTTCTCCGATATCACACTGTCAACCTACTAAATAATACAACCTCAATGGTAGCTGTGAGGGTTTCATACGTATTGAGGGACTTCTATACCCGAACAGTTGGGATTAGTTTAACTTAGACAAAAATACACTGAGCTTTAAACTACTATAAAAGTACTTTTTTTCCATTTCAAACTCACGAAATTGATACCACGTGTTATCATGATTATATTTTATTGTGTATGCTGCACTGGAATTGGTCTTTAGGACTGAGTATAGAAATTGAAATAAAACACAACAGATTTCTGCAGCTAAATCAAATTACCTTAGCAGTATTCCATGTCACCTTCTTATACACGAACAAATAGCAATGATCCATAAAAAACATCCAGTCCTGTGGACATGTTCCTATACAACAAAAAAGGTAAATCATTAACGATGGGTACTTGAAATACGTTATATTCCCTGTTGTACATATACACTACTTTAAAAAGTATACCAACACTTCTTTTGGGTTTCGCTACAAAAAAACTGATACCATTTATATTAGCAAATAAAACCCAAAAAAAATCAAGAAGAATGTTTTCACTTATGTAATTTAAAATTTTTAAAATTCATTATGATTTATTACCCAGAACAGCGCTGGGATAGATTAGATAAATTTTGTAAGGTATGTGGTGGGTTTTTGCGGTATATTTTACCTCTTAATTTGGCCCATAAATGTTGTATATGGGTTAAGATCAGGGGAATTGGCCGGCCATTCCATTCTAGTGATATTGTTCGCTCTCATTATGTTGTTTACAATCCTTCCAAGATGAGTTCTAGCCTTATCATCTTGAAATACCGGATTTGTACTTACATGAACAATACGACGGGTGCAACATGTGGAGCAGGATCTTCCGGAGGACCTTAGATCAACGCTGGGTTTTGATGGGGTTTGTGTTTCTCAATCGTTAGTTGTATGTTTTGTTTGCACTGTTGTTTGTATGTTGATCTTTCTTCTTTTGCCATGATGTTGTCAGTTTATTTTCGATTTATGAGTTTGAATGTCCCTTTTGGTATCTTTCGCCTCTTAATTCCAGCTTGTAGGCTGAATATCTGTTCGTCTTATTAGCTGATTTGTTAATAGTACGAGGGATTTACGTTTATTTTACAATATGCAATGCGAAAACAAATATCATGTTTTAATTAAATGTGTATCGTTGAAATCAAATGTATTTGTCTATGAACTCTGGCATCTCAATCATTTCATTTCATTAAATAAAAGTCTGGTTTTTCATTGTATTTGTAAAAATATGTAGGTTTTAGGGTGTTTTTTGGTACTCTTTTTTAAATATGAGTTTTGATTTTAAGCAAACTAGTTTGTTGCAAATATTCAGTTTGTGCAAATTTTCCTTTGATTTCTCGATAAAAAAGACTTTTCATCAAAGGAGGGTCTGTATTAATGAGTTTAATATTTTTTCTGCATTTTAAAAAAAAAAGATAAAAACCTTTAAAATTCTTAGTCTTTTGTATATGATTCTATACTTTGTTAGATAACATATTCGTAAATAATAATGGTACTTACTTTTCTTCAAATCCAGTATTTCTAACTGCATGTCCGTCATTTCTTCTGCATTTTATCAAATATTGAGGTAACCGCTCTTTGTTGAGCTTGGATACTTCTGCATTCTCTCTTTTGAATACTAACATTTGATTCTAAACTTGTTATTTGTGTCTTCTGTTTCTTACAGCAATCTTCCAAACTTTGGACTTTCGATTTAATTTCCGTCATTTCATCTTTCTTTAGCATTCCTTTAACATTTTTTAATGCTATATGATTTTGATTACAGAGGCTGTGCACTTTTTTTAATCTAGTTTCCGTACGGTCTAGTTGTGTTATCATCAGCCATATAAAAGGATTATTGGACGATTTATCCGATGATACTCCAGAAAATCTGTTTTCCGTGTCTAATGAGAAGCTCTCAGACAAAACCGATAAAAGATAGACGCAAATAAGCATGTTGTCAAGGAAGCAACTAGGGAAAACCTGATTAAGATGCACAATTTTTCTATATTTTCCAGGAAATGATACCAAAATTGAAAAATATCAACGTAAAGAGTAATTACATGTTTTTGTGACAAATATTGTAATTTGATATTTTACATGTTGTATAGACTTATTTTACTATTGATGTTTAGTGGAAAAATGCGCTATCATTCTCCACCTGATAGATAGTTTCCTGTCTTTAGGACTTCAAAAAACTCTAATTTATAAAAATAAATCAAAATAACAAAATACCGAACTCCAAGGGAAATTCAAAACGGAAAGTTCTTTAAAACATGGCAAAATCAAAAGCTCAAACACATCTAACGAATGGAAAACAACTATCATAAAAAGCAATACTTGTCCTTTTTTAAATACGGATACTTCAGTCTCACATGATAAACTCTATTCAAATTTTTATGGAAAAAAGAGATTTTTTCTTTCCAAATTAATAATGTTTCTTTTTTGGGACGGTGATGATCCATTGACACCTTAATTTCTGTTTTTTTTTTTTTTTTTTTTATTTTTTATGCCATTTTTCTCTATTCGTTATTTGTTTTCTGCCTGTTATTTTAAATTCTTTATATTAAACACCCTATTTTTCTCTATCCTATTTTTAACCAATTTTAGTGTATTCTGTATTTCCGGGGTTATTATGATTGTTAGCTTGTTGTGTATCTGCTTTAAAACAACCACACAATTTCGAGCGTAATAATTTGTGTTATTTTCAAATGTATATTAAAAGATGATATTAATTAAACATTTTTATTAATTCGAATCATTCAAAATATGTACATGCCCTAAAAAGTACTAGTATATGGTAAAGCCTACACAACCAAAACTAGAACTATACAAGAAAAGCATTGCATGATCCTTTTCATTTAATTCATCATATGAACGCTATGTCTAATAATCTTTTGTTTTTTTCAGGAAGCAGAAACTATTTGTTCTTGCTTATAGCATTGTTTTGCACATAGATTTTCAACAAACCAATTTTCAAACTAGTGGCACATTATTTCATGTAATAAGTATCATGGTCTATATATTTACAGTGTTTACATTTTTGTCAAGGTACATGTATACAGTTAGAAGTACTTACATGTAAGCAAAAATGCAAAAGGTTATTTGTATCATGATTTTCACAATATTCCTTAATATATGAACAATCGGAAAGTGCTTTGGAAAAATGGGAAAATCAATACTACCGACATTGTATACATGTTTATATATATATAAGGCATTGGATTTTTAGTCATTTGTTATTCGTCGAACATAACAGCTATACATCGAAAAAAGGCTGTCGTAAATTACACATGTCATACAGTTTTACACAATTCCTTAACATTAAAGTACAGTGAACAATACATCAGAACAGGATATTAAAATGATTTTAAACATTTTTATTACTAAAGATAAAACATTTGATTATAATCCCCTAACAATTTGTTTTTCCTTTTTGTGTTCGTTCTTGACACCAGTCCATCAGAAACCTTCTAACAAGTGCAATTTTAGACTAACTGTTGGAAACACTGCTCTATCACCGAAATATAAGTCTTCGCTAAATCTGTAGATTTTGTAATTTTCAGTCACAAATGAAATACATTAAAAGATGAGCTTTTTCGTTTTGTGTTCAACAACATGACAATGATAACAACAAAATAAGAAACAATACGGATGACCTCTTGTATGTCTCTGTCTATACAATTTAATTGTTGTCACATATAATTAGAACTATTCTAAATATTATAAAAATATAGAAACATTAACTTCACGTCATGCAAATACATAAAATAACTTTTGCGTTGAATTTTTTTATGACCTAAACAAGGAATTTGTGTCAGATCTACGGTTTCCATTCCTGTTGAATCAGATCTGTTTATTGAGACGATGCAATCGATCTTTCAATTGAGCACGGGGATAATTAGTGAATAGCATAGCAACATCTACAGTTTTTGCTATTACATGTACTGCATAATTGTAAAGATTGCGATTGCAGATTTTTTTTTAATTCAAAACAAATTGGTTGAATATATTTCATCACAATATTTAAAAAGGCCATTTTGTTTACTGTAGAAAGAATGGTGATGATAAATGTAAGTACAAATTTTTGACCACTGGGCTATTTATTTTATTAGGATTTTTGTTTATAGTTTAGGTTTCCAGTATAAAGATGGAGGATAAAACAGTCAACGATATATTTCTGTTACATCAGGTTCCGTAAAAAGAATACCCAGTGTGCTTAAATAACCAAATAACTAGTTGGATATATAGATAATCAGATGCAGACTAACACTATCATTCTTTAAATGCTAGAAAGTTCAAACTAGCGTGTTTTACATTCATTATGAGTGAAACAAACTACTATACTCGTTGGGGAATCGTTTCAACTCTAGACTTGATTAATTTGGACATTAAAAACAGATTATTTATTATTGGTAACTTGTTTCTATCGTTGTTTGGGTTGATTGTAATGCAACAAAATCATACAAAATAAGTATTAATTTTGTTGCTGTTGAATCTTTGTTTCGAATCGGAGCAGTAGACATTTGTTGCGGTCAAAATGTTATTATTTGATCTATTTGCTGATTTGGAAGAAATATACTAGCAATTCCATGCTTTAAAAGATATATTGCAACTAAATTCCAAACAATTATTTAATAGAAATAATATCACATAAACTTATTGTTGTTATCATTTAGACAAAACCGGGAAATGTCTTAATTCATGGTGAGAAATAACAAGTTGTGAGATCCAAACATAAGTCGATTGAAAAGTAAAATAACCAAAATAACGAAATCCAAGGAAAATTCCAAACGGAAAGTCCTTTAACAAATGGTAAAACTAAAAGCTCAAACACATCAAACGAATGGAAAACAATTGTCATATTCCTGACTTATTACAGGCATTTCCTAATGTAGAAAATGGTGGATTAAACTTGGTTAATTGACAATGTATTAAACGTAATGTGTAACTTGTATTCCTTTGGAACACACAACCTGAAAGTACTCTATTTGTCACATATTGTTTCTTTCAGAATAGGTTCAGTAAGTGTTAATTCTTTAACTGAAACACCTTTTTCTGTTTTATGCTTTTTGTGTTTTAATAGTTCAATAATTTCGTTAAGGCTTTCAAACATTTCGTCCTCTCTGGAAAAATACTTCAATCGTCCGGACTCCTCTTTTGTGAATATCCTTCAGTTGTATGAACCTGTTCACCATTTATTCTAAAATAAAGCAGGAATACGAATAAAACAGTAAAAAAAACGACAGTCAGGTATTTTATCTATGACCAATTTAATGGCTCAAATTAAGAAAATGTTATTGAAATGATTTTAAGAGGGCATTTTATTATCGTTTTATATATTATTTAAATAATTGAAATGTTCAGTAACAATCATTTTAAAGTTTTGTGATAAACCGAAGCTTAAATTTGTTTCAATATCTGTTCTTGTAAACTCTAATTAAGTAATTGATTGATTGGGATTAAACGCCACCTTCAGCAATATTGACTATTCCGTGTCTGTCATTTTATTGGTATAGGACGCCGGCGTGCCGCATAGAACCACCGACCTTCGACAGGAAACTGACAATCTTAAATGTTATTGTGTCATTTTGGGTACGTTCAAATTCACAACCTCAGTATTGACAGGCTTGTTATTCAGTATTTGAATTACTTAGACAAGACACTTACCGAGGTCCATCGGCACGTTCTTATAGCAGTGGCTTTACATGTGTTGTTGTAAGAATTCCAAGTTTAACTTCAAATGCTTCCATCTTGACTGGGGTATAGAGACATGAACACTTTTTGTCACTTTCCAACCGGCAGTAAAACCTAAGCTAAAATGAAGGGTCCGTTTGTCTATGTAGGTTGTATCAATACACAGTTACGTCTTGACATTGTTTGATAATGTTAAATCCGATGCTTTTTTGCATGTTAAGAACCCTTGTATCAATTCTTTGAGGGATCCATAGTTGACTTGCTCCAAAGCTTAATTTCTGTCCATATCCAATAGTCCTTTATTTTCCTTTACACATTTTGTTAATACCGATGTTCCTGTGGTGTGTCAAATATAACTCACTCTGTTTATTTTTCAATGTTTGGAAATTTAATTCAAACTTTGTTCTTTGCGTAGTATTTTTTTTTAAGGAGATTTCTTTTTAATTTTTGCATTTTTGGAATTTTTGTGCAAGGAATTCTGATGAAATGTTATCAAAATTTTGAACCCGGTTGTAAATATTCAAGTTGGAGTAGTGTGTTATTTACATCCGGATAATTGACCAAGCAAGTTACAAGATTCTTGTTTCATCAAAAAATAATTGTAAATTTCCTTTTCTATTACAGTCAGGTTAGGGAACACCAAATTGGAACGATATTCCAGAGCTTGCGTTTCCTATCATGATTTCTTTCATCGAGGATAACTGCTCACAAGGACACTATTGAACCAAGGATTGCAGTCATCTTTTCAAACATTCTACAGACGCATGTATAATACATGTATGGTTGACCATTATGAAATACTTGTTTGACAGATGACCACTTATATGTTTCAATTGTCGTGACAACTTCCCTTTTCTTCGGTTGTGATCAAGGAATGCAGTCTTTAGTCTTATGTATATTGTTTTGTAGATTCCTGTGTTTCGGTTTGATTAATTTCTTTTATGGCATGGTTTTTAGACTTTTGCTAGGAGATTGTCCCTTTCGTATTTTCTGACACTTTTTAATGCTACTTTTCTATCCTCAGAATTTTGCCGAGATGTTTGAACATTAAAGAAACTGGACATACTTTGTACAAACGCAACCGGAATAAGAGGTTATGTGTGACATACCAATAACCAACGACACAAGGTTATTTAATGATACCATAGATATCATGCTGAAATATTCT